ACATCAAGCAAAAAATATAGTAATTTAGATGTGTAATATTTAGAACCTACCGATTGGTTTATATAGAGTGGCATTATAAGAATTTCAAAAAAATATTTTAATATTTCTTCAAGTATGATTAAGATACCACTTTTCACATTTTTCTATTTTATCAGCCTTTACTCAAAAATTAAAATTATTTAAAAAAAAGTAGAAATGAAAGATATTTTTWAATTTTTTAAGAAGTCACAATCAAAAAAATAAAAAATTTGAAAATGTCAATCTGTAAAAGTAGAATCAAGTTCTTATCGCCCTAYTATATAGGTCAATCGGTACGTTAAACTTTTAAAATAGAACACGTCTGAATTTCTGGTACTGAATCGTGTTAGACAAACACAGAAAATCACCGCCAAATGATTATTGCACTACACAACGCGATGCAGTAGCAATTGGAAGCTATTACAATTAACGTCAGGATAAACCGAGTACAGAATATATATGTGTGAATACAAATAATATATTACTATATACATATTATACAATATCTATATAGATATATATATATATTTATTTATTTATTTATATTGTATGTATATTTACACCGTACCCCAATATATATTGCATCAATTATTTATTATTCCATTCCATATATATATATATATATATATATATAATATATAGTATATATATATATATATATATATATGGCGTGTGTGTAAAGGTAATATAATTGGGCATATGTGCTTATAACGCCACTATTCGACCGACTAAACGTTGTGGAATTATAATAACAACCACATAATACCCCACGCGTACCGTGCGCGTTTTATTATTATTGTACACCAAAAATTATTTTTWAAAAAGTCGATGTTATTATTCAGGTCGATTTTTTTAAATAAAAGTTTAAAAAATTACATTAATTGTATAACAACATGTGGAAGTTGATTAAACTMTCGCACGTTTATAATATTATTATATTATACACATATAGTTTCGATGTATGTTATAGTACATCAAACGGTATTGCTTGTAAACTGAAATGTTTCKAGTTATAAATTTCTGTTGATAATAAAACAATATCAAAAAAAAAAAGATTGATACGCACAAAGTATACCTTTTTGTATGCAGAATTATTCATAAAACCATTACGCGAGAAATTCACCTATTAATAACTAAACACTGCGTGTATTTATTAGCATAATAATATGATACATGTAAAAGTTGCACGATTTAATTGATTTGAATACAAATCCAAAACGGGCAAACGGATTAAGATGCCGTGTGATGTTATTTTCGGTTTAATCTAATAATAATAATAATATCGTACAATGCTGTTGACGGGCTTGTGGTGTTCGTAGGACTGAGACAACAAATACCGGTGTTGCGCCCTMTTAAACAAGCACTGCATATTCTATTTAGGCGTTTCTATTTAATTTCCTAGTCGACATGACGATGCGTTTGACAAACGAGGCACTACCATTAGCCAAACCTCACATGTCTCGCGATCGGCGATCTGGATTAATTCGGATCGTAAAGATTTATAAAGGGGTGATAAAACAGAATTTCGTGAACGCGGAATTTAATGTCGTCAAATACGAGAGCTGAGCTCTTTGGCACCGTAAGTTACCTTTACCTATACCTATACAGCTATATACGTATATATCGCGAATACTTGCTGCAGCACCACCAAGTCGCAAACTGAAGAATATCAATCTGTCGAATGGGATTTTGGTATTAGGGAGCGCGACGAGCAAGCAAAAAAAAGGTATTAAGTTTAGACAAGGTAGGTACTAAATTCTGTATTAAAAAAAAAATAAAAAATAAAAGAACACCTGTGACCTGTCAATGAATGTCCATATAAATATATAAGTTTTGGAGCGTTTTCTTTCCGGCGAATAGAAGATTATATCGACTAAAAGGGCGGATTTGACGGATGAAAATGCACTACGCATGCTTTTTAAAAGCTCATTTATTATTTCAGTCGTATGTTTATCGTCAATTTGTAATGATTTTTATTTGGTCCAAACTTACATCTATGATGGTAAGAGGTACTTTATATGTAGTAYATAATATGTATTATGGTAGTCGGTCGCCTGTCCGGAGGTCATATGTTTTCGAAAGTCGTATACGAAAATCTTTGTTAAAAAGTCATGTTATAGAACGGTTTTGGAAAAATTATTTCTTCGAAAACTCATATTATATTTAAAAACAATAACTTGTACAGTTATACTAATTATATATATATTAACCCTATCTGGGTTATTTTCAGTGTCATGTCTGTCATGCAATAGCCAATAGCTAAATTTAGTTAGATAAATGTATCTATCGTATGAATTATACGTATATATTTACTATTTAGGTACCTAGAATTATTATTATCATTTTTCGCTAATGTGGACCACTTTTAAGAAATTAATAGTAATAATAGTGTATCGTTGATCGTCGATAGACGACAATAGATATTAAGCTTTATATAATAATATTAAATAATTTCAAGTCGAAGGTCTAAGAATAACCTGATGGACGATAGTACTGGAAAGTGGGAATATTGGTATTATAATAGTTTAAAAATACCAATAACTAATAAGAATAAACCACCAGCTCCACTTRGTCCACTCACCATTCACCAACAACCTTTATTAATTAACTACTGCAGTCTGCAAGTTATAAATATTTAATTTATTATTATTCATTGCCTATGAAAAAAGTATCATAACATCACAATTGAGTATTGAGATATATAGTCATAACTCATAATTGTATTAATATTTTCTACAAACCTAATATAAAAAATAAAATTTAACAAAATCATGTTTTAAGAATAACATTTCTAAAAAATCATCTCATTTTCATCTAGATAAAATTGATTTTATCTGTATCTATATCTAGATATATTTTAATTTATCATTATCTATCTCTATCTAGACATATTTTGAGTTCATATATCTTATCTTTATCTAGATACAAAAAAATTATCTAAGCACAACACTGGTTATTTTAATTTTATTTTTCAAGTAAATATTATATATTTACTTATTAAATGATAACAATTTTGGAATTATTCGTGGAATAATATTATTCTTCGTGCATGTAGAACTGGAAATTTTGCTAACAACATATTAGATTTGATCGTTAAAGTCGCACTTTTCGGTGATATACCTCTATCGATACACTTATTAAGTCACCAAAAGGCCATAAATTAACTAGTTACAGGTTAGCTCTCAAAAGAAGTCGAGGCTACCTTACTGTTTATAGACTTTAAATCCTCAACGAACATTCTACTTTCTACTAATCGGTTTCAGTTCAGGATCAGATTGAAAGAATAATTTCACCGTTTTTACCTTAAATCCTCATCCTCATCAACAATTAAAAAAAAAAATACATTTATCACGTACTACAGTCGTTGTTCACAGACACGTTCGTCACACCTATTATCCCGCCGATAATCACTTAGCGATAACTGGTCTCCCCTTGCTTATGCATGCGACAATAATACATAGGAAAATTAAAAAAAAATTTTATTTATCAACATGTAGTTCTTAACGATAAAATATTCCAATCTATTTTGCATATTATATGTATTATAAAAATATTAAATTAATAATAACTATATATTATATATTATATAATATACGAAAAAGTGAAATTAAAAAAAAACCTCAAATAAATTAACCAAACAATAGCCTTATTTATGTTCTACGATACTTGTCATGGTAACAGAAAGATCTATAGTCATATTACAGAAAGTACGAGTTTGTAGTTCTTTAAAATGAACCTCAAAACTTTGAATATTTATGACATTACAGTGACGTAAAAACACAGGCACTTAGAAAAACTGAAGATATACATATATTTTTTATTGGAACTGTAAAAGAAGCAAAAAGAGCAAAAGTTCGGACACTTTGTGGAGAAAAACAGCGCGATTTAATTAYACACTTAATTTTTCTTGAAAATCAACATAATATTCACACGGAGCTGCTCCAATAATTTTAGGAACAAGAGTTATAAAATAAAACATTTAAAAAAAAAATCCAAAAGAAAATATGATAAACCCAACAAAAATAGAATTTTTAGCATATTCGGTTGATATCGTATAATTGAATAGTTTGATATTACTCAATATTTATGTGTACTTGAATCATGTCAATACTTATATTCTTAGTATAGGGCACATAGCATTTTTTATATGTCGTCTGCTACATCACTATGAATATTATAGCTATCGTTTCGTTTAAAACGCATTGGGTWGTTCAGTTTTAACTGAACGCATTTCGCCATTTTCCGAAACGATATTGCCGATCATAACAAAACCGGCTTTGGCGAATAATAGGTAATAATTCCGACAAGACATTACAACCATAACGGTCGTCAGCAATATTTATGTGGTCGTCTAAATTTTTTATATTCCATTTTTTTTCTCGAAAGTCTGCAGCGACAAAATTTCATTTCAACTACTGATATATCTATACATTTACRTATGTGTGCTTGATTTTCACTATGGCAAATAGACACACACATACACACACACCTCGCGCGTATATATACAGATAATAATGCTTACCCAAAGATGTTGATGTAGTTTATGTTAGTGTCATTTTTTTTCGTAACGCATAAAAGAAAAGTACGGTTTCCATGAAAGCTCTATTTGRCTCGTTCCTCGTCTCCCTCTTCGTATTCACACACACATACATATCCCCTATATATATATATTTATATCTGTCCCAGACTTTCAATGTTCCACCGTATTATACGCGTATATATACTACACACATTCAATGTATAGTTCCACAAAATATTTTTATGTGTATATATATATATAATATATATAGACACAACAAGCATAATTCTCGACTTTAGGTGATAACTTTTCATCGTGAATAATATTACCATAAAGATGTCCCGGAATAATACAATTCGAGAACCGAAATAAAAACAAATTTTCCCGTGACACCGCATAAACACAAATAAAAGTGCGAGTAACGACACACGGTGACAACTACTGCTGCGGGATCATAACGCAAAGATGTGCCAACACGCCTACATGAAGCATACGCATATATGTGTTACGATTTCAATGTATATTGTGTGTTATGTTAAATATACATATTACATATATAATATATTATGCCGTTGCGTTGCATAAGACATWACATGATAAACGCACTGCAGTTAGACAAAATGCGAGTTGAGCATTTGTTCGATAAATAAGCAGGGTGTATTAACTTTATATAAAGAACAAAAAAGTTCTTATTTGAATTGCTATATAAATATTTTGGATTACCTATAATTTATTAATGTATAACATTATTTACCTCCTACTGACCATTTATCTAATAGTCAAAGTTACCTATTTAATATATCATATGACTTGTAAATAATATCCTGATGATATAAAAGCGAAACTCTYCTCATCTGCACGGAATCAGAACTAAAATACAAAGACATCAAGCATAAAAATATTATAATATGAAATGGAATTTAAAAAACAAAAAAACAAAAATCTAATATAAGATGAAAAGTGAAAGGACGTGATGCAAATATTGAAAATCAAGGCTAAATAAGTATTGGGAATTTAGGAAAAAGAGACAAGGGAACACTAGATTACGAAAGAAATTGTAAAGACTGCAGTATATAGATGATAAACAAAAAAAAAATCAAAATAGTATAAACAGCTAAAAAAAATTATAATTGAGGTTTATACTTTATAGATCCTATATAAATAAAAGCAAAAATCTAAAGTAAAATGGTTGGATGATAAATGCACGACAGTTGAATGAYGTATAAAAAGAGAAAGAAGCGATTCATCTTTCGAAATCATTAAACTTTATTTAGTGAAAGATGATGGAAAGAAAATTCTCTTAGAAGTAAAACAGGTGAAATATCAATAACAACTCAACAAAAGGTAAAAATATGAAAAGAATATCTAGAAGAACAATACATAGGTAGTATTATAATATGTACTTAAAACTGAAACGTGCTGAAGCATAATATAACAATGTAGAAAAGGATGAAAAAAAAGATYAATCAACAAAATCAAATTGATTTTGTGGTCAGTCTAGGTATGTGATACCTTTAAAGTTTACAGTATTAAATCTAAAAATCTTTTGTATTAAAAATAACACAAATTTCAAGTTTATACATTTCAAACGCTCATAAAAAGTTAATTTGAATTCCCGGTGTAAGTTTTTTTTTTTTTTTTTGATAAAGGTAGACAAACTTGTAATGAATCTTGTATTATATTTTCAAATCTTAGGTATAAAAGGAAAATTTTTTATGAATTTCTAGCATAAAATAATTTGCGAATTATCGTAATTTTTACGTATTTTGTCAAAATTCAAAATTTGAATGCTTATAAAAAAAAATTGTGACAGTATATTTCTTTTTTTTTCAACTGTTATTTTAGAAATATGTTAGAAGCCTTTATTAGATTTTTAAATCTTAGATTTAAAAAGAAAAACTTTTATGAATTTATATCTAATAATTTGAACATTGCCGTATTTTTATAAAAAAAAATCGTGTATAGGTATGTATTTTTAATATTTTTCATCTGCTATTGTCACAACATGTGGGAAGCTTTATATTAAATTTTAAAGCTTTTTGACTCAACCACTAAAATTTTATTGACATTAATAGAAAAAAAAATTAAAATGTCAGTWAACAGCTCAAAACTAATCAAAATATTTTGAAAATCTTTTCAAATATGGAAAATGCCTATATAAACATTCAGTGAAAATTTCATGTATCTGAGGTCCGGTCACTTGTTTTAGAGTTACAACAAAATAAAAAAATCGCCAAATGAGAAATCTAGTAAAATCCAATGTTGTAAAAATTTAAATTTCAAACGCTCATATTTAATTTCTGTCGAACATATCTTAGATTTAAAAAGAAATTTTTTTATGAATTTCTAGCTTAACATAATTTGCAAATTTTCGTAATTTTTACGTATTTTGTCAAAATTCAAACTTTGAATACTTATAAAAAAAATTGTGACTATGAATTTCTTTTAATTTTCAACTGCTATTGTAACAATATGTTAGGAGCCTCGTATTAAATTTTTAAGCTTTTCTACGCAACAAATACATTTTTATAGACATTAATTTAAAAAAACTAATAATGATCGAAAACTGCATATGACTATAAATAGTTCAACTTACGTCGACATTTTATGGTGGATAGAAAATACTTATATAAACATTCGGTGAAAATTTCGTGTATCTATGGTCATTTGTTTTATAGTTACATCAAAAACCAAAATCGATTTTGTCGAAAACTGATTGTGCGTAAAATTTCCTGTTTTCCCCTTAATTTTCCGTTTGTTTATCTCAATTATTTTAGAAAAATATTAAGAATTTTTTACCTTTGACCCCCCAAAGTACCAACTGGATTCACTTTCAGATCGAACGAGATACTGATGTCGAAAATCAAAGCATTTTTACTGCCTCAAAACGTGATGACAGACACAAAAAAAAATATWAAAAAAAACACACATCATTATGGAATAATCAATACATTCCTCGCTCCGCTCATAATCTATAAAGTGTTGTTCTATTATCAATATTATGGTAATTTKAGCAGGTATTTTTTATGAATTTCGATACTTTTTCTTGTTTAGAAAGTACAAAACTACAATTCACGAYTGTGAATTGTGATCGTAATATTTATTGTGTATTTACGATATTTTTGCATTTGTAAAGATTATAATATTTGATTTTAAAGGMATTTTTTAAATGTTTGTCAAAAATCAAGTACTTTAGTTAAATATATTTAGAAAATTGTAACAGATAAAATTTTATCATTTTTGAATATGAAAATCTCCATTCGCAATCAATCGATTAATTGTAATGTAATTAAAATCGTTTATTCTATAGAATATACCAAAAAAAAAAAGGTGGATAAATTTAAATATATACTTTTAAATTGTATAATACCTGTTTAAATATTAAATCGGTTATAAATCTGTTATCCATGAAAATATTAATTTACTTTTTACTTATTAAAAACTAATTAAATTGTAAATTAATATTTTTTAAAAACTTTTTTAATGTTTGCATCGCCTTTTATATTGGAATTCGAGAAACTCGGTGGAAAATTACAACATTTGTACATTTCTTGTCATTTTTATATTCAATTCTCCCATCAATTTGACATCTTATCAATAAAAACTTTTGGTAAAGTTATCATTTGTTTTCWAGAATTTTGAATGTCACATTAAATCCAGAGTAGATATCAGCAAAAGCTTGTTATTTTCCTTATTTATTTTACTTTTTCACATTTAATTTTTTACCAGAGTTTTGAATTCTTCATAATGTTTTTTCAGTTTGAATTATTTTGAGTTGCGATTATTGTTTTTTTCAAATATATCAAGCATCTGTCAAATTTTATAATTTACTCAATATAAAGTATATTGAAAATAATTT